CTGGGAGAACATCTCTCCTGATATGGCCCAAAACTTCCAGAAACAAAACACCAACAATCAAAACACTCCATACGACTACGGCTCCATCATGCACTATGGAAAAACTACCTTCTCCATCCAGCCTGGCCTGGAAACCATCACTCCCATTCCTGATGAGACGGTGGAAATCGGACAGAGCCAGGGAATGTCCAACACTGACATTCTGAGGGTCAACAAGCTGTATGGATGCTGAAGATGAGGGATAATTAAATATGTGTCATGTGTCTGTAGATGAGTAGTGATGATGGTCTTTACTTTCTGGTGGTGTTCAAGTTCTGAAATGTGTGATTGTGGTGGGAAAAATAAAGTTAATCAAAGTGCATAACACTTTATATTGTTTGCAGTTTTTATTAATAAGGTAAAGGTGTTTATTTTGCAATAATACATGACCACATATACATGACTAGTTACCAAATAAATAATTGGACATTAAATATTGATTTGATTCATTATGTCAGTGTAAAATCATGCCTGAATGAAAGTATAAAAATCATATTTGACACAAACTCTAAAATGTAAAGTACAAAAAAAATAATAATTACGAAAATATGCAAACGAAATGCTTTCGTGTTGACCCCATTTAACTAAATGCTTTTTTATGGTTCGACCTTGGAGATAAAGAAATCATACCCCTCATCACAATGGTATGACCAGCATCGGACTTACGAATCACTGTTAGCACAGTTCTCCTGATATGGCCCAAAACTTCCAGAAACAAAACACCAACAACCAAAACACCCCATACGACTACGGCTCCATCATGCACTATGGAAAAACTACCTTCTCCATCCAGCCTGGCCTGGAAACCATCACTCCCATTCGTGATGAGACGGTGGAAATCGTACGAATCACTGTTAGCACAGAGGGGTGATCTTTTTATAAACTTCCACGTAAGCAGTAACACGAGCAAATATTTGGCTCTACGAACATTTTGTGACATTTTACTCTGTGAAGTTGTCAAAACAATACTTTTAAATGTATATTTTGCGTTATCATACCAACACAGCACCCCTCTAACCCCCGCGCTCCCCTGTACATTATTCACCTGCAGACACATGAACTATATTAAGTAGTCTGCATAAAACTCATCTTCAGCAGGTGAAAGCTTGCCAAGTGGGCATTGGTTAAGTGAGCTCTGAATAGTATTTTACACTGCATTAAACCATGCCTAGCACATAAAGAACAGGAGTGTACCTGCAAGATGTTATGCCATAGATCCTCTGTTATAGTAACTCCTAGGTCGTGCTCCCAGTTTCTTTAAAGGGATAGTTCACCCAAAAATGAAAATTATGTGATTAATTACTCACCCTTATGTCGTTCCAAACCTGTAAGACCTTTGTTCATCTTCGGAACACAATTTAAGATACTGTTGATGGAATCTGAGAGCTCCCTGACCCTCTGTAGACAGCACACAACTGTAATGTTCCCCAGAAACATAGCAAGGACATCGGTAAAACAGTCCATGTGACATCGGAGGCTCAACTTCAATTTTGCGAAGCTACGAGAATACTTTTTGTGCACAAAGAAAACAAAAATAATGACTTTATTAAAATATTCTTCTCCCCTGAGTTACTGTCCTCCGCCATTGTGGAGAGTATCACAACGCATACGCACGCTTTACCCTAAGCGTAAACAACACTGATTACGCCGATTACGTTCATGTGCACGCTTACCCTCCTGAACGTAAACAACGTTGAATACATTGATTACGTTCTGGAGTACTCTCCAAAATAGTGGAAGACGTAACTTGGGGGAGAAGAATTGTTAAATCAATTATGTTATTTTTTATTTCTTTGCGCACAAAAAGTATTCTTGTAGCTTCGCAAAATTGAAGTTGAACCACTGATGTCACATGGACTATTTTACCGATGTCCTTGCAACGTTTCTGTCTGGGAACATTTCAGTTGCGTTGCTGTCTATGGAGGGTCAGAGAGCTCTCAGATTCCATCAAAAATATCTTAATTTGTGTTCTGAAGATGAATGAAGGTCTTACAGGTTTGGAACGACATGAGGGTGAGTAATTGATGACAGAATTTTCATTTTGGGGTGAACTAACCCTTTAAGAGTGTCAGTAGGGTCCACATTAATTGAATTTATTAAATTATAAATGACTGAGATTAGATGCTTATGGTTGATATTCAAATCAAGAAAATGGTCAATGTGCGTTTCAGGAAGACGTTTAGGAAAGTGAGGGAACTGCTTCTGTATAAAGTGTTTGGTTTGGAAGAACCAAAATAAGTGATGACTGGGTAAATTATACATTTTAGATAAGAAGGAGAAAGCCTTTTTTATTTTATTTTTTACAGGCAAATACAAGTTGATGTAGTATGTGTGAGTATGATGGGTATTTTAGTATGTGTCATGCTCAGCCCACTCCGAGATTTACATTTTAAAAGTCATAATACATTTAAAATGAAAATAAATATAAGTGATTTAGTGGAATCCAGTTGTACTTGTTATTTGTGACAAAAAATAAAATCTGGGTGTTGACCAAGAGTAATGGATGATTTGCTCTTGGTCAACACCCATGCTCCCCATCTATGTCAGAGGACAGAAGAAAGGCTAAGGAAACGTGTCTTCTGATAATTTATGAAATCAGACATTTCATTTTAAATTTTAAAGACACATCATTTTACTGGATGTTAATTTTTTTATTATTAACTTGATTTTTCCTAGAAATTTAAAATTTAATAAAGACAAAGACCATCACCTCATTCGATTCTTCATTTACGGGAATGTGAACTACATTAAATTATCTGACACACCACATACATATAAAACTCATCTTTAGCATCCATACAGCTTGTTGATCCTCAGGATGTCAGTGTTGGACATTCCCTGCCTCTGTCCAATTTCCACCGTCTCATCAGGAATGGGAGTGATGGTTTCCAGGCCAGGCTGGATGGTGAAGGCTGTTTTTCCATAGTGCATGATGGAGCCATAGTCGTATGGAGTGTTTTGGTTGTTGGTGTTTTGTTTCTGGAAGTTGTAGGCCGTATCAGGAGAGATGTTCTCCCAGTTGATCTTGACGTACTTGTCGCGATCGCTCCTGGTTTGCTCGTGGTTGAAGCCCAGGGCATGATTGAGCTCATGCTGAACGATGCCGTGATACACACAGCCGTTCCTGTTGAGGGAGACCACCTGTTTGCCACCAGTTCTACCAAGAGAAGAGAAGCACCTGAGAGCAGAGAGGAAATAAAGGGGTAAATAGTATCAATGTTTTGGACTAAGGCCAGTTAAATGTTTTTGCTTTTGTATGATTGTTCTCACCCATCTTTGTTCTCAATACTGATGTAGTCGGTCTGAGTTGATCTGGCCACAAAGCGGATGCAGGTTTTGGAGTGAAAGGTGGACATGGCATTTGTGATAACTAATTTGTTATTATAGGCTGTAAAAAAAAAAAAGGGGGCCAAAGGTTTAAAATGACATCTTCATGAATGTGTTCAATGATTTGTTCAATGATTGAAGGACATTCACTCACAGAATTCACCGCTCACTATGTAAGGGATCTCCACTATGTTGTTAGAGTTTTTCTTCCAGAAACAGTTGTTGTTAAAGCAGTTGAGAGCATTTCTGGTTTTGGGAAACACCAGATCTCCTTCAATCAAGACTTCAGAAGATCCTGTATTAAAAAGAACCACATTGATGATATAACACAATATATTTATAAACTCTGAACACTTTTTAGAAATGTGACCCATTGATGGCTTTACAGAAATCTACAAGGTGTCTGACCATTGTTGGACTCCAAAATCCTTGTAGTGATGTCCACACTTTCCGGCTCTGACACAAACACTCCTTCAAAGCTTTCCTCCTGGTGGCAGAAACAGAAATGTTTAACATGACTCA